AAAATTGGAGGTCCAGATCACTCATTGTCAACACACAAGTCAAGTCTCCACTGTATCATATTTTTCATATATTATTTTCTGGTAAACAAAATCATATTTTTGATATAAAGAAAAGAAGGCCCAGAAGAATCTCATCTATCAATTTTTTTTTTTCACTTGCCTTTTTCTTTGGGAAATAAATTACAAGTAGCTGGGGTTCATTTTTCCTTTAGGTGGGGGCCAAGAAGGAGTCTAGATTCATTTTCCTTTCCATTTTGTGCACATGAAGATTTGTCTTTTATACAAGAACATGCAGTAAAATGGTTGCAAAATTCACATACGCGCAAGTTCATTTCAGAAGTCAAATTGCTCATGCTATAAATGCATGATAAGATTACAACCCACAGGATACGGCAATAAAGGCTGTGTCTTTGACCCTTTTGTGCATCATCACACCAGAGCTGAGGCCGAAAAACTGATTCTTGAAAAAGAAACTACTAGCATTGCTTTATTTCTAAAAGCAACCAGCCTGGATCTCATTCCAAGCTTGTGCACCTCAAAACTTAAGTAAACAACGAACCAAGTAGCGTGTGTATAAAATTAGTGATGTGTGCTTGCAGTCATTGAGCGGTTGGCTGGCCTTATTTCTACCAGGAGAGAGAGAGAAAGAGAGTAGGGGAGAGAGAAAGTGAGAGATGGCAGCTTATGTTGAGGATGGAGTTCCTGAAGAAAAGTTGCCTGGGAAGCTTCAGTCAGATGTTGATGTAATTGGTAAGTCCCTCTAAGCTAGTTCTACTCCTTGTATCTCTCTCCGGAATTCCTCTGTTTTACTCTCAGCATGTTTATGCAGAATTGGTTATGTCAAGACTGGATTGGATCCCATTTCAGTTATGAAATTTTCCTGGTGTTTCTTGTATATGTGATGAAATGTGTTTGAATGTTCTTGAATGACATCAAGAATGGGTTGACAGAGCCATGATAATTGATTTGAATGAGATATTGCTACTTTGCTTAAAAAGTTTCTCCTTTTGAAGAGTTGCAATTTGTTGTTAGAAATTCACTCTGCAATGTTGCCAATTTGCTCATGCTGCAGATGATGAAGTGAATGACAACCCAATTGAGCAAGTTAGGCTAACTGTTTCAACCACCGATGACCCTTCACTGCCAACCTTGACATTTCGTACATGGGTTCTTGGGATAATTTCATGCTCCGTTCTTGCTTTTATGAACCAATTTTTCGGGTACCGCCAGAATCAGCTGTATGTTTCTTCGGTCTCGGCACAAATTCTTGTCCTCCCTGTTGGGAAGTTGATGGCTGCTACCCTTCCAGAGAAGCCAATTCGATTCCCATTCACAAAGTGGTCGTTTTCATTGAATCCGGGGCCTTTCAACTTGAAAGAACATGTGCTGATCACCATTTTCGCCAACTCGGGATCAAACAGCGTTTATGCTGTTAACATTATCACAATTGTTTTGGCTTTCTACCACAGGAAAATGCATCCTGCAGCAGCCTTCTTGTTAGCTCAAACCACTCAGGTGAATTTATGGCAAAGTGTTTCTTTGGTGCGTTTTCTTGCTTTCTTGGTAATTGTTTGTGTGGTGGAAATTCATGTTTTTTGTATGAAATTTTGCAGATGCTTGGGTATGGATGGGCTGGCATTTTCAGAAAATATCTTGTTGACTCTCCTTACATGTGGTGGCCTTCAAATCTGGTTCAGGTCTCTCTTTTCAGGTATTTTATTTCCACCCTCTTTCCTATCTGTCATATTGAATGAATTTAGCAGCCACTTCAAATTGAAAATCATTTCTTCATTTTTTTTCTATAATTGTTGAGCAAATTTATAATTTTAATGGCAGGGCATTGCACGAAAAGGAAAAGAGACCGAAGGGAGGCCGCACTAGGCTGCAGTTCTTCTTCATGGTTTTCATATGCAGCTTTTCTTACTACATTGTTCCAAGTTTTCTTTTCCCCTCCATTTCTGCTTTCTCCTTTGTTTGCTGGATATGGAAGGACTCCATCACTGCCCAACAGATTGGTTCCGGCATGCATGGCCTTGGCATAGGCTCCTTCGGCATTGATTGGTCCACTGTTGCTGGCTTCTTAGGCAGTCCGTTAGCCACACCTGGATTTGCTACCATTAACATCTTAATTGGTTTTGTCTTGATTGTTTACGTTGTCACCCCCATTGCTTATTGGAACAACGCCTATGATGCTAGGAAGTTTCCAATATTTTCGTCACACACTTTCGACTCCACTGGCCAGATCTATAACATTTCCTCGGTTCTGGATCAGAAAAATTTCGATATTAATATGGTTAGGTACAACGGTTACAGCAAGCTCTATCTCAGTACCTTCTTTGCCTTCAGTTATGGGTTGAGCTTTGCCACTTTGACGGCTACTATTTCCCATGTTGGTCTCTTCCATGGAAGGTAAGCCTTTTCGACATCAGTTTTTATGGTAAACCGGGCAATATTTCTTTAGAGCTAATAAATTCTTCATTGTCTTTCTTGCTTCTTGTGACATACATGAACAGAACAATCTGGCAGATGTGGAAAAAGACAACTAGTGCAGTGAGAGATCAGGTTGGAGATATCCACACCAGGCTGATGAAGAAGAACTATGAAGCAGTGCCCCAATGGTGGTTTCACATCATCCTTGTTTTAATGGTTGCTCTTGCTATCTTTTGCTGTGAAGGTTTTGGCAAACAGCTCCAACTTCCATGGTGGGGAGTTTTAATGGCTTGTGGAATTGCACTATTTTTCACCTTACCCATCGGCATCATTCAAGCCACAACAAATCAGGTATATATGGTCAAGAAAACATTAAATCTGAACAATATGATGAGTGCTCTGCATAATTTGTTACACATTTCCTTCAAAGCGGTCATATTAAGTTGCAATTTCTCATTTAATTATACAAACTCTGCAGCAACCGGGGCTTAATGTGATCACAGAGTTAGTTATCGGATACATTTACCCAGGAAAGCCTCTTGCTAATGTGGCTTTCAAGACCTATGGTTATATCAGCATGTCACAAGGACTTATGTTTCTTCAGGACTTCAAATTAGGACACTACATGAAGATCCCTCCTAAGTCCATGTTTGTTGTGCAGGTAATGAATTGCATAACCTCATATCAATTTCTGTTCATATTTCTGATAAAATTATCCACTCATTTCTATTCCCCCTCCCTTTTTTTTTTTTTTTACAATAATCTTCAGTTAGTTGGAACAATAGTTGCTTCAAGTGTCTACTTTGGCACATCTTGGTGGCTTCTCACAACCATTGAGCACATCTGTGATCCATCAAAGCTGCCAGAGGGAAGTCCATGGACATGTCCTGGTGATGATGTGTTCTACAATGCATCAATCATTTGGGGGGTCATTGGCCCCCTCAGAATGTTCACTGACAAAGGAGTCTACCCAGAGCTCAACTGGTTCTTCCTCATTGGCTTATTGGCACCCGTTCCTGTTTGGCTGCTCTCTAAACAATTTCCCAACCAAAGGTGGATCAAGCTCATAAACATGCCCATTATACTTGGAGCCACAGGTTACATGCCTCCTGCTAGGGCTGTGAATTATTTGACATGGCTTACAGTTGGGATTTTCTTCAACTTTTATGTGTATAGAAAGTACAAGGGCTGGTGGGCTAGGCACAACTATATCCTCTCTGCTGCTTTGGATGCTGGTGTGGCCTTCACAGCAGTTCTGCTGTATTTCACCCTCCAATCCAAGGATATCACGGGTCCAAACTGGTGGGGCCTGGAAGCTGATGACCATTGCCCGCTCGCCACATGTCCCACGGCACGGGGTATAGTTGCCAAAGGCTGTCCAGTTCTCTGAGATTAATGTAATTCACATGTGCTTGTGCAAATCATATATAGTTAGCCCAGTTCTGGCTGATTGGTGGCATAGATATGAAGCTGTACAGTTGATTAATTAGTTTGTATTACCTTGAAGCTGCAGACTGAGATTTTAGTCAAAATGTAATAAGTTATTTAGTGCTTTGCATAATGTGAAAACTAGTGTATGAAAACATGCTCTAATACTGAAATAAGTGGCATATAATCTTTAATAAATAACATTATCATATATCAAGCCACCAAGCCATTCACATTCGCTATAATGTTCCATACAAATAAAACAAATTTAGATGCAAATATATGTATGCTGACGTCACTAATGCCAATTGTACTTCATGTCAAAACTCGCCAACTAGATGCATATTAAGGATTTTCCCACATCAACATAAATATTTCCAAATTTAGATTTTTGTGTCTTTGACCTGTACTCCATTGCACTAGAGATTAGGCCCTAAAAACTGGTTTCTTGAAAGAGAGTTGGTATTTTGGTCCAC